TATCGCAATGGATAATGCAACCGCCCGGTAAGCGGTAGATGCGGGTTAAAGTGTCGAGTGCCGTTCGAAGTCCTATTTTTGCCCATAACTCAGCGCTGTTGTGATGACCTGTGTTCTTATCCTGCTATATGGCCTCGTACCAGTTTACCGTCCCCAGAGAGTGGAAGGTTCCGTTGGTCTTGGTGGGAGCCAATCCAGTATTTGACTTCCTATTGAGCGCATGGTACGCGTGCCACTTGCTACTACACCAGCCTCGAAAAAAAAGAAAACGTACCCCAAATAAAGCGTCGCTTTCATCAGGATTACCCGGCGATGCTATCACTTCGTAGACCTGGAAAGTAAGAGATACGAAAATATTGATGGAATTCCCGCCTAAGCAGTTCCCGAACCTCATCACGGAGCGAGGCGCCCTCGGGAATTTCTGTTAAGCCCTTCGATTTGCTGTTCCAAATGAGTTCATTGTCCAGGTTAGTAGGTATAGGAGGTTCTTTAGTCGGTGGATGACCGCTTGACTCACAGAAGACGTCCATCAGCAGAATTCGCTGCAGAGCTCGCTTCACATCGCTGACGGACAACTGCTTGTTGACGATCCTGAACCTTGTCATAGAATTCTCACGAAATGGAAAAAAAAACTGAGACTCTCCATTATTTTCAATGGCTTTTTGTGCCATTGCCTTCCAGCACTCACACGTCTGAAGTAATCACGTTGCTGTGTGAGAGCTCGTGTTGTGAGCTACGTACGCGCGCAACTCACACCAGGGCCGTTATTGATATGACGAGGAAGTGCTGCACTATGTCGAGTTAAGCAGCAAGGAAGTACCCCACTAGTTTCTACACTTCGCGGCAGCGTGGATGTAACACACCCGAGTAACATATTTCAGGCGAGTCCCAAGCCACATGGTAGATCACTAAATATGCGCCAAAGTTCCTTTGAGAATCTCCTTCAATCATTTTGCCTTTGATGGGTAATCACGACATAAAGCGCCGGGTTGCTTGTTCTAGGGATTCAGAAACAGATTGGGTAGTTGCCTTCACTTCTGTCGAATTCGAATGACAGCGGGCGTTCGCCACTATAATGGAAGGCGGCCAAGGGTAGGCCGTAGTGCATTCCGTTCTTAATTCCGACCGTCGCGCAAAGGCTCACCTTCACGCAAATTTGGCCATTTCCCAGCAAGTCTGAGAGAGTGATCCAGTTGCCTTGATAGTTCCCAAATTGCATTCCAGAGAACATGATAAAGACAGCAAGCCTTTCTTGAGCGCCGAAATGCACTTTTGTGGATATTTCAATGAAATCCCTAACCTGCTGGATCCACATTCCATGGGTCGGATCCATCCGTGATTAATTTAGGATGGCATGGATTTCGTAGTCCAAAAAGAAAGCCGGCAGCTCATGGAGGAGCTCAGAGCAGCTCTGGCCGATCGTGCTACTGAGTTCGCCGCACGGGAACGTCATGCTCTTGCCGCTTTCTACGGTGTTTCAGACGAGGAGCTGGAACGTATTGAAAAGGAGCACGAAAGAAGTGAAACTGCAGCTCAACAACAGGTACATTGTGGTGTTCCTGTACAGTACTGTCCTGTCCTGCTAATTTTTCGTTTCCAGGAGTTCTCATCGGATGACGTCCATGATTCGGAAAATGAGGATGATGGTGAAACCGCTGAAGAAGTACTGCCGAGACAGGCACGCACACTCCCGTCTGATCTCCTGGCTGCTCTTCGACATCGAGCAGTAGCAGAAGAAACTATTGGCGATGACTGAAGAGGAAAGTATTGAGCTGAAAGCTGTCTTGCAAATTCATCAGTGGGGAAAACCTGCTCCTCATTGACATGACACCGAGATACGCTCGTGATCTCGTTTTCTGCTTCATCACATGGCACGTGCCTACTGTTTGGTCTTTCGCCTCTGAAGGCCTTCTGAATAAACGAGCTCAGCCTGCAGTCTGTTGACACTGGTGATTTCCTGAAAACGTTTGAATTTGCTAGATCTGACCTATTGATCACCGTCGTCTATTGAGTTAGCGTCGGCGATCGAGCCTTAAAGACAGCTCCCGCGATAGAAGTGTCATGGATAGTTGCTGTTCAATTATGAAACAGTAGCTGATAAGTAATTCCCCGAAGAAGAAAAAAGCAAGAAGAGTCCTCAAGAACACCATAAACAAAATTGCTCCCTTTTTCGGTTAATTAATTTATTAATTTTTCAATTTTTCACAATTCCGGTAATTTTCACCACTGCACCTTCCTCATAGGTGCACGCCTCCTCGTTGACATTCCTAAGGGTGAACTCCGCTGAAGTAGGAGAACGCACTCGTCTAAGTAGTTTGACTCATGCCAACAGCCCGGTATCTGCCGTCTGAGGAGACGCGGACCGTATTTGCCTTGAAGAAATTTTTTCCTACCGCGAGCCTTTCCCAGATGTTGAGTTGTTGGCTTTTATCGGCTTATTCCCGCCCCCGCAGTTGCCGGTGATGCCACAGAAACTACTATACAGCTACTATTTCTGCCTGGTAAAATTAGTAGTTGGTTGGTGGCTGAAGATATCCCAACCGCCACCCCCCCCCCCACCTCCCCTCCCTTGCATAATTCCCCACCCCCACCTGCCTCGACGGCGAGTCTTCGGGTATTGAATGCGAAAAAATCGTAAAAGTTGGAAAAGCCGTAGGAATGTAGGAGTGAGAGGAAATAGGAAGATCATAGGAAAATGTTAGGTTGAGGTAAGGAGGTTGTGAGAGATGAGGAGTACTAGAAGGAAGGTCTCCTACTGACACCGCTGTTTCAGAAGTCACGATTCTCTATCATGATTCCACCAGTCCTTGTGACACTTACAGTCGTCATCCTTGCACTTGATAGGGGCGTGTCGGCGAGAAGGAGCGTGCACACTGTTTGAAGCCTTCTCAGCCTTTTCGTTGAAACGCGTATGCGACAAAAAGTGATAGAAAACGAGTAACACGAAGGATATAATACAGTAATGTCACTTCCTGGTTCAACGATTGGTGCAGTACGGGTGCGGGCGACCGCGCCGCACGCAGCCGCACTGACATTGACTATCAAGTGCAAGGATGACGACTGTAGGATCCTGCTGATTCCTACTGAGTCCTAATTTTCGCTTCAGCGTGAAGAAAACATTGTCAAAACATCGAGGAATTCGCGATTAGAACGTAATTAGGGCGTCATGATATTAATGTCACAAAAAATGGGGAAGTCGTGGCCTAGATCAATAAATTGCGGTTCTAAGTGCAACTCCAGGAATGCGCTTTTGATGGATTAAATATTACCCGGTTTATGGAATAAGGCGCACTACTGGTCTGTGCTAGCTATCACTACGAAGTCATTTTTAAAGAGTTCCAGTGAGCTACGAAGTATTGCTTTGCCTAACTTGAGCTACGAAATACTGCTTTGCCCTAACTGAGGACGTAGAAACCTTGAGGTGAAAAACTGTCCAACAAACAAGAGTGTATAGTAATCAGATTGGATATTATCACAAGAATGCTGAGTTATGGTTGTGCCCCAGGCGGGAGTCGAACCCGCACCTCACTTCCCGGGCGAGTGCGCTATCCGTTACGCCACCAGGGCCGCTTTTACCCTCTCAGCTTAACGGCTTTTATGCCGTAGCCTTACAGCACTCACACGTTTAACTTGGTGAGCCGGTCAGCCGTAATCGTTAGATATCGGCAATGAACGCAACGGCGGAGCGTTAAATAGCAGTTAACATAACAAATCAAATTGGATAATTTGGCTGCCATTCTTGGTCATTTGAAAAGGAACCGAGCTAGGCAGCTGTAAATGACCACTGAACAACTATATCTGTGGTAAGCTATAAGAAGGCAGTTCCTGTGATAAATTTTTGGGGGTTTGCTATTTTGGCTGCTAACGGGTCATAGTGCTGCTGGACGTCTGAACGCGGCATCGCGCACAGTTTAGCAGAGTAGGTAGCCTAGAAACGCTACAGCGCATGGATTTAAAGGGATCTGCTGTGCGTACTCCAGATCCCGGATATGTGGTAGGTCTGGCTACGCACTTCATTTGAACGTGACGACGGCGGCTTTTTTGGTGAAATATTTTTTTTATCCTGATAGTTCTCCCTTGTTCAACACAAGGGCAAGATGACAGTTGTCTCAATTCAAAACATCCCACAAAACTTCGCCATACGCCATATTCAAATGAAGGATGAAACCTCCGCCTATGGCGTCCTAGAAATGTGGTGTTAATTTGCAGACTGATGAGCTGCGATCAGAACAAATCGCAGGCCCCTTACGTCCACACACTGTCGTGCTGCGAAGTGTCGTTAGTACTGCATATGTATATAGCAGTGTAACGCTGCATTCAAGTTTGCGGCAGCGTCCACCAGCGAACACCAGCGTCCGTCCTCGACGATCAGCGTCTCGAGAGACCAGAAAAGTATGGATAGCAATCTAGCGTCTACAAGCGTCAGCCACCGTCCACCGGCGACCAGGAGAGTATGGGGAAGTAAGAGGGGGCAAAGCTGGATTGGGGCTCGTGAAATTGTGGCAAGTGTAACCGCACTGTGCTACTAGCAATACCGTACTCCTGGTTGCTGATGGACGCTGATAGACGCTAGATCGATACCCATACTTTCCTAGTTCCTCGAGACGCTGATGGTCGCTGCCGTTCACTAGATCGATGCCTACGCTTTACTAGGTGCTGACACTATACTTTCCTAGTCGCTGACGCCGCTCGAAACGCTGGCGTCCGCTGATGGACGTTACTGCAAAGTATGAGCTTAACAGACAATAACAATCGGGCAACTCTGAAATTTCCCATGGTTTCGAGGGACTGAGCAGATGCTGAGACGATTTTAATGGGAATGGTAACCTAATGGCATTAGACTAAGGACTCGAAAATTGAACTCCATCTAATGTTTTGGAGTGAGATGACTTTGATGTCGTCCTGTGAGTCCCTCCCAAGGTTGCTTCTAGCGTTC